TCTCTCTGATATCAGGGTGTCTGCTTCCTTATCCGTGGGGTCTCCACCATGAGAGCTGGTGGCAGAGACAAAGTGGTTTTGTCTGGGCAGGGAGGAGACAGAAAGCCCTCCTGTCTCTGCCACAAAGCAGGTTTTAGGAGGGGAATGGCTCTGGAATGCAGAAGAGGACAGGGCTCCTGTGCCTCTGTGATCAAAGGGTGCTTCCTGGTGAGAGTGCAGGAGGATAGGAGCCCTCACGGGTACCCTGCCTGGCCATCCACAGCCCTGGGAAGAGGATGTTCTTCCTTCCAGCTGCAAAACCTTTTGTGCATGCTTCCTTTGTGAACTGTGGACCTTCTGAACACTGGGGCCTCGCACTTGCAATTAAAATGTGTAGCCCTCTAAACACGAGCTACTAATCCAGAGGTAGCTGGACGACTTGAGGGATTAGAAGACAGATTTAAGAGTGACTTGTGTAGCCACAGTGCTGTTATGTAGCTTAATCAAATTCCACAGGAATTAGTGAAATATTTGAGTTCATAGGTTGAGTTCAATTCTCCTGTTTTGGTGGGGAAACAATGAGAAGTCTAATATCAGCCTTTAAACCTAGATTTCTGAGATGCAAATACTAAGAATACTTTGTACAAAATAAGTGCGAGTAACCATCAAATTAAGATCTTCAGAAAGCTGTAGAGGAGAAGAATGCTTTGTGGAATTGCATCTAAGTTCTTCAGTGATGTTCATCCAGTTACAAAAGTAGTGGTCACATGAGTCAGTTTTAGGCTTTAAATACCTACAGAAAGCTGGAAAGTATTCTGATCTGGGATTTTAGATAAGCTTATCTCTATGGGGGGAGGGAGGGGTGTCTAACAAGTTTGAGTCAGAAGGAAAATAGATTTTGCACCTCCTGGGTTTTTTCTGCATTTCTCCTATTCATCTGACTGTCAGTTTGTTAAATGTTAATCATCTTCTACAGGATAAAAATCAACATGCTTCCTACTCTAATATTTGACCTTTTAAACATTCAGAGGTTTTGATTTAGGATATACTTATTATCCCTCATCTTCCTAAGTTTGAAAATGCAAAGAATAGATCAATAATGCCAGAGTTTCACTCAACTAGCATACATTATAAAATACTGACTTATCTAAATTGCTGTAGGTGATGATTTTCTGGGGGATACAGGAAGCAAGAAGAGAAGATTACTAGTGAACATGATTAAGAAGAGGAGAGAGACCCAATCCAGATTATTTTTTTCCTTGTAATTTTGTGTTGGGATATTTGTGGAGGCTAAAACCTGGGCTTCAGAATGAGTCTGTAGGTAACAGAGAAATTAGGTATGAGAAGAGTGAAATGTTTCGTACTCCCTGAAGACATTGCATCTGGTGAGGTGAGGCCCCTTGGGAGTGGATTTTCCTATGATTTTGAAGAGATCAGGGATTCCCACCCAGGAAAACAGTGAATGATTTTTAAAAAGAAAAGGTCACTCATGTTTGAACCTGGATTACTGTGCTATGAATCAGCATTCATACCTGGGTCCTGCTCTGAGTTTCCCTGAGCTGTTAGACGGGTAGTTCAATTTGCTGTGCTACTCCATTTCTCATGTTTAAAGTAAGAATGAGACTACATCTCTTCACCTGCTCTCTTCTCTATGTCTGTGGGTACCCATCCAAAGAATCCCATAGACTGTGCCTGCTGCAGAGCTGTTTACTGATAATCCAGTGGGAAACCGATCTGAAACTCCTGGATGCCATAGTATATAGAGAATAATATTGTCCTCTGTTGCTATGCTCAGCTCAGAGGATTGTCACTAGCAATTACATTCAACATTATATTGTGAGGATGCCAAGACCCCCAGGGTACATAGGCCTCTCTAATTAGTCTACTGTAGATAAAACCCAAGCACTGTTACTGGTATTTACACACTAACAATTGGGTTTTCTGGTTGGGATGAACAGAAATGTGTTAATCCATGGGTGATTTTACTGATCCTGCATAGAGTTTAGAAATGACAATATTTTTTTTTGCTGAAAACATAAGTGAAAAACTGCTGAATTTTATCAGACATTATTTTAGAATGTTAGTGCCATTTCTTGCCTCTGGGCAGGTCTGTGTAACATTGCTAGCTCCAGTGGAATAATGTGGTTACAACACGAGGCAGGATGTGACTAGCAAAAGTCTATCTTCCATTTGTTAGTGTGTTAAGAGTAAAAGAAAACCTAGGGCTGTAAAAAGATGAGCTCTTTAGGATCCTTTTTTGAAGTCTAGGTGGCTCAGCATTTATGGGGTGCTTAAAACTTAGAAGAGTTAAAGTCTTCTGGAGCCTGAAGCTGGAAAGTTGAAGTACAGACATTTGAATGCACAAATTCTCTAATGCTCAAAATTCTACCTAAACACCAACACAGCATCTGATCGACTCCACTGGATTCCTGCCCAGCTGCAGCAGGGATATACCAAGAGATATGTGCTCTAGGAAATTTTATCCTTTTTGCTGTTGAGCATTCTTGAGGTTGGGGCACTGGCCTAAGCAGACCTGTTAGTGTGACTCAAGGCTACTCCTGCCTTTTGAATAACTGGTAATAATTGTTATTAATAAGAGGTAAGCCAGGCTTGCTTTACTGTGCAGCATTTGTTGCATCAACTTGCTAACTCCCAGTGAAACCATAAGAAAACACACTATGTGAGTAATTGGTTTTGGTGGTCCTTCTAAGTGAATACTGTCTCCCTTAAATACCACTGCCTATGTTAAAAGAGCAAGAACTCTTTTCCAGTACAATTTTTGATACATTAAATTACTTTTTTTTTTTCCCTGCAGTTGCTTTGTCTTCAGACTATCCTTTTGATTTTATTATATTTATTTTTCCTGTGGCTGAACTGCATTGTACTAAGAAGTTAGTTTGTGAAGTCCTTGCTCATGTTTGGTCTTGGATTTTGCTGTGTCATGAGTGAATTGGCAGTTGCAAAGTCTGAATTTCCATGCCAGTGAACTAACATAATAATGTGTTTGCAGGGTCAAGCCGTCGCTCAGCTCTGTTCAACTATTCCCAATGTTACTGTTTTTGGAACAGCTTCATCTTTCAAACACGAAGCAATCAAAGACTCGGTAACTCATCTGTTTGACAGAAATGCAGACTATGTTCAAGAAGTAAAAAGGTAATCTTTTATTTTCCTGAATAAGGGTTGTGTAGTATCTGGCAAAATACTACGAGAGACACCAGGCTGAGCATGTTTATGGCAAGAGCTTACATTTGTGAGATTTGGAACTGTAGTTTATTCCAAATACTCCATCTGTCTATGACAAGGGACAAGACAGCAAGCATCTCCCTATTTCTTTATAAGCAATATAAGCTTTGTTAGTCCATGTTCATACTTGGACATCTGTTGTGAGCAAACCAAACTAAGTGAAAAAGAAGAAAGGTCTTAACAGAAGGATGTATTTTTCTATTATCTGCATGCTCACTGTAATGCACTGTGCAAAATATTTTCAGTGGATCTGTACGTCACCCAAATTTTGGAGTTCTCTAGTGAGTTTCTATCTGCCTGAGATTTTTATCCTCTGCCAGGGATTGATATCAGAGCACATGATTCTCTTTTAATTTCAAATCCTTAGATGATGTTTGTTTGTGTTCAGATTAGGATCATCCTGTTGCCTTTTGAAGTCATCACGTGTGTTTCTATTTACATGCTTTCAAATACTTCATCTTCCAGTTTGTCTAACTTTTAGATATTGATGTTGATACAGGTGGCAAAACTTTAGAATTGATAAGAGAATCTTAGTAAAAAATGTATTTTTGATTTTAATTGTCAGACAGTTCATAATGCTTTCCCTTCATCTTGTATCTGTCAAAATACTAGATCATGTAGCTGGGCCTAAACCAAGACATGTCTCAAAGGGACACCCCAAGGTAGTACAGTGACCAGCTTCAGATTTACACCTTCCTCAGAGTGCCATGCCAAGTCTCAGCAGGCCTTTTAGTACGAGGGTTACTAGGACTCAGGGGGCCTTCAGGAACACCTCTAACCTTTGACAGTCTCCAGGCTGCAATTTTCTTGTAGTGTCTGCACCAGGTTTTCGCATAATTGTTAAGTATTAATCAAGATTTTACTACTGCTTGGGCTGTTTACTTGCTTAGGAGATAGAATATTAGATTTAGATCAAACTAGTGATGGAATTTTGCAGGCTGGTGTCTTGCCAGAGAGAAAAGAGCTAAACCAGGGTGGTTTTTTTCCTTCTTCAGCATCATATTGACATTTTATTCACAAAGCTATTTATTGGAAAATTATACACATGTGGACTATTGATTGAAACAGTATAAATAGTTTCTGCTTTCTATAATATGGCCTGATTGTGTCCTTAGAGCTGTATTTCTAGTTTTTGATGGCTTCTCTTTACGCTTGATTTAACTCTTTGCTGATGCCTGGTTGATACAAAGTCTGAAACAGAAGACTCTTTATATAACTTTTATCAGGACATCATTTTATTTGAGAAGAGCTAGAATAAGAAGATCTGTTTCCTTATTCAGAAAAAGAATAAGATGCTGTGAATAACAAAAATGTCCCTTTTCTATATAACATTCATTGACAAAAAAAAAGACATTCTCTGACATTTGAATTCACTCAGAAAGAATTTTATATCTATCACATGTTTTTTGATAATATAACTCTACTGAAGGGCCTCCAAACAAAGGGAACAAGCTGATTTCCCACTCTTTTAAGCCTGAAAGCTGTGGGTTGCATTCCAGCACTAAATGGATCTGAATTGTCTTTGGACGAGGAGAAGGTTTTCATGTAGTGAAAGCCTCAGCCTTAGAGTCCTTTCTAACGTACCTGGAAAAGGTTAGAGTTATGTTAACAACCAGCCTGTATCATGCTGGCTGACCAGTCCTGTGGGGCTTACTGCAAAGTGAGATTTCTTTCTTGCTTTTTAGAATCTCGACAGATGGAGTAGATATTGTTTTGGACTGTCTTTGTGGAGAAAATACTGGAAAAGGCCTCAGTCTTCTCAAACCACTTGGGACTTACATTTTATATGGTAAGTGGAAAAAGACAGGTATATATTTAAAAACTAAAGCTTTGCAAAGCTTAAAATCTCTTAAAATCACCCATGCCACTCCTCCCAGAACTGGAGGCCACCATGTTATACTTTCTCAATTTGACCATTTCCAGTCAAGGATCTTATGAAGCTGACCATGGACTAAAGTATTGAGAGACTATAGGTAATACAAAGAAACTCTTAAAAAAAAAAAAATTTAAAATCTAAAAGTGAAAAGTAATACAAAGAAACTCTTAAAAAAAATTTAAAATCTAAAAGTGAAGCTGAATATGCTTCAGATTGTTAAACATTGTTGGGTGGTGCATGAGAAGTGTAAGAGAAAGCTTGGATCTCTCATTCTGCATACCATAGGAATCAGTGTGGCCAAGGAAACTGTCACATAGCTCTTGTGAGAGGGAAGTTGGGGTAAAGTTTCAGGAAGAATGCTATCAGTTTTATCTGACGTGACTTTGAGGAATTCAAGCCCAGCGTTCTTCTCACAGATTTCCAGTGATGAGCGTGGACTGCTCCACATACTGAGCTGAGTGTGTCTTTCCTGCAGTTCTGCCAGTTGCCATGTTGTCTGTCAATGAAGCAGGCCAAGCTTCTGTGGGAGGACAGCTGAAGGGATTGCTAAATTTTTGAAATGAAGACTAGATCTGTATTGCAGTGAAAGGTGCAGTGGCACCATGGATAAGCATACCTGCTTCCTGGGCTTTCACCTGGCCCAAGACCACAACGTGGTGACTTGCCATTACGTCTCTAAACAGGTCGTAGTGTATATTCACACAGGTAGCTGGAGTACAGAGAAGGGACACCTGCGTGGTGATTGCTGCTAAATAACAGTGTGAGAAACAAGGGGCATTTCAACTGCAGAGAAGGAGAGAGTTGTAGAAGTTCTTTGGTGTCAAGATGCCTAGTAGCACCTGACCCAGTCCTGCTTTTGCAAGATTTGATAAATTGTTTTTGTCATCTCAGGATACCTATAACCTTGTAGGGCTCAGTCAGCTTGGGCTCATTGTTATTTTTTCTCAAAGCATGTCTACTAATCCCTTTTAAACCTGGGGAATTTTTTTTTCTTAAGTATGAATTATGGAAAGAATTTTGCATATAATAAATGGCCTGCTTGTCAGCATGTAATAAGTTGCATGTGAATGTACTTGTCTTTTACAGGTTCATCTAACATGGTTACTGGGGAGACAAAAAGCTTCTTCAGTTTTGCAAAATCAGTAAGTGTCCTAGTGCTGTGATTCTGCTCTTTCCCCTAACCAGTCTTTCCTGTGGCATTTTCATCTTTATCATTGTTGTTTATCTCTCCCAAGTTGTTACCGCCGATGTTTCTGAAGAGCGTTTTTCTGGCTGCAGTGTGCTCTGCCATGTTTTCTTCTGGTGGGACAGCTGGACAGGAATTGGATCTGTGTGCAATGCATATTTACGTTGTTAGCTGTCAGATGTATCTCTTATCAGCTAAGTTTAAGTTAGACTGCAGTATTTATCTGCTTATGGCAGAATATCCTATCCATGGATATGGATAACTCTACCCTGTAGGTTCCTCGTATGTGAAAACACTGTCAGAACAGTGCAGGGAATTAAAGAGGAGATGAAAGGAGATATCTCTTAAGATGTGGCTTGTGTCCAGTCATTTCCAGCTTTTCAGAAGTTCCAACCAGAAATGCATTTTTTAGTCCTCCATGTTAATTTCAAGTGACATCAGAGAACATGACATTGCATTTGTTTCCTAATTGATGTCAACACATCCAAAATTCAAACGTTAGACCCTTTTCTTCAGCTTACATCAAGAATCTGCTCAGAAATCCTAGAGATCACAAAAAGAACAAATTTATCAAATAAACTGCTAGCAAGAAATAAGTTAACCAGGAGTGAAAGTGATTCCTTCAGACAAGAAAAACGGAGGGAGAAGATCTATCATATGATCTTTCTGCCAAGAGCTCATTTAGAGCTTCCAGCAACAACCCCTTCCCAGGAGAAATTAGCTTCAAAAGTCTCTGTGTAGTTGAAAACAAGATAAATCAAAGACTGTAGCAAGAAGCTGTTCTTTGCCTCCTACATTTTCTTAATGGCTGTAGTGGCACAATCTTCGTCATTGTCATGTGTTTGTGAACTGAAACAAGATAATCTTTACTATGCAGCCTTTTTGTTAATATAGCTGTGTCATTTGTAGGGTAGGTTGGCCCGATGAAAACAAATTTCAACTGAAGTGTTTTTCAGATAGTACTGGTATTTATTGACTCAATAAATATGAATAAATTAATAAAACAGCATATAATTTTTGTATGAAAGAATAACTAATTTCTTTATGTAATTATACTGCAAAATTAACTCATCAAAATTGTATGAAAATTTTAATTAAAAACTGACCGATTCAAATAAAACTTGCTAGGAAGTGGTGTCTCAGTCTCAAGGATGTTCTTGAGCTAAATGAGATAAAATAATTTCATTAGATATTACGAGGCTTGTTCAAATATCAGAAACATAATAATGGGTGAAAAGGAAATAGAAGCTCATAAGCAGTGCATCGTTTCCTTGGTTTAGAGAGAAGAATCAAGAATTGCTTGCAGGTGTTTGAGAAGCTTGCATGGTTCTCTTGAGGTAACAGAGGAGGATAGGAGAAGTAAGAAGGGAGGCCCAAATTCCTTACTTCTAGACCCATGTCCTAAAGCCAGATCTGTTCACTAAGCCCCTAATCTCATGCAATCCAAGTCTGTTTTATTTCTGTGTCAGTCAGTCATGTACTTTTTGCCTCTTCCTTAAATAAAATCCTTGCTGCTTCTCTTGGCTATTGCTTCAGATCTGACAGATGAGTCGTGTATCACATCTGCCCAGACAGTTTTCTTGTGAAGTCTTCTGTACATTTCTTGAAAAACGTTTTTCTAACCCTGCTGTTGTTTATTGCTTTCCAGTGGTGGCAGGTTGAGAAAGTAAATCCTATCAAGCTGTACGAGGAGAACAAAGTCATTGCTGGATTTTCCCTGTTGAATCTACTTTTCAAACAGAATCGAGGTGCCCTGATCAAGAGCGTGATGGACAAACTCCTAAATCTATATAACAGTAAGAAGATCAAGCCTGTGGTTGATTCATTGTGGGCTTTGGAAGAGGTAGGAGTAAATTTCTGTCTCTGTTTTGAAATTAATGAAATATACGCACTTATTTAAATCTACTTTTATTTCTATATGTTTTTTAGTTATTAATGTATTGTGCTTATCTCTTTGTGCACAAGTTGTCTCCAAAGCCCTTGCTGTTCAGAAATTCCATCATCCAGAGTTATCTACACATTTCTCTAATAAATATTTCCAGAGTCTGAAATGCTCTGTGCAAAGTTCTTGAAAATACTGACAGTAGTTGTGTTTTTGTTTAATATTAGAAAATTTTTTCTGTTTCCTAAGTACAAGAATCATGTGACTAACAAGTGTGGCATGAAATGCAGACTTCATGATTGACAACAGCTCAAAAACTATTCTGAGGAAAAGACCTAATAAATAAGCTTTAGTTTCAGTATCATATTTGTGCTAGCAAACCTTGGAAAACTGGAGGTTTTCAGGAAGTTACTTGAAAATGTGTTGCAGGCAGTCAAATCAGAAATCACTTTTAATGTAAGTTAACATTTGTGGAGTGGGTGTTTTTTGGTGGTTCTTTTCCTTCTAACTGCTCATCTCTCCTTAAAGATGTGTAAAGAAACTAATCTGATAATAGCTTGGGAAACTGTAAGCCCCTTTACCAAAGCACTGTTGCTGCAACTTTCATACTTAAGATGCTGGTAAATGAATCCAGGTATTTTTGGAGGTGTGTACAGACTTTAACATATAAAGAAACAGCATAATTAGAGCAGCAACCCTAGATTAATGTTTGTGTTTTCTGTATTTGAAGTGCACTGAGCCTGACACTTCACTCAGATGCACAACCTGTAGGAGCTTTGCAGAATGTGGATTGGGGCTGTGTCCTTGTGACAATTGCTACTCAGAAGGTGCTGTGCCAAGATTCTGTCAGTCTGAACACATTATTATTATGGTATTACCATGTATCTGTGAGGAAACAGTAATCAGACATAAAACATTATGAATATTGTATTGCATTAAGATTGTCTTCTGGGCAGGGTTTTGAGCCCAGCATGTTGCTCATTATTCAGGTGGCATTACAGCATGACCAGTGTCATGGTCACAAATGAGATATCCCAACTGCATGGTGGGACTCTGCAGCCTGTGGCAGCTCTTAGAGCAGGATGCACTGCATGTTTGCTGGGGCTTGTACATGCCCTAGCCTCCTTGTATGACAAGGTGTGTGCTGCCTTAGGTTGTGTTAATGTGGGAGCTATATGTCTGTCCATGCTATTGCTACATCTGCCCCAGTGTAGCCCAATATGCTGCTTTATGTGGTACAGCAGATGAAACCAGCCCAGCATGATGTGAGCTCCAGTTGTCTCCAGCAAAACAGAGAGGAATGATAACTTCCCCAGGAATCTCTTCCTGTTTCTCTGAAATGTCTGTCTGAGGCCTCACTGGTAGCAAGTTGGTAACACCTCTGAATTTTAGCAGCCCGTGGCATGGGAGTGGCTAATTCTCACCATCGAACTCCTCCAGGGAAATCAGATACTGTGATAAAGAGCAGCTGGCTCAGGCAAGGCAAAATCCTCTGCAGGGGAGTGTCCTTTGAAGGGCAGGGTAATATAGAAATGGGATCAGATTTAGGCTTTTGATGTGGGGTGGGTTTTTTTACTTATTAAATAAGCTTATGAAGTATTTCTACAATTTAAGTGGCACAGGTCTCTAGATAGAAATTCTGCAGTTTCTTTGTTCGTGCAAATATGGACTTTTCATGTGTTGGTCAGAAAAGGTTAATTAGAATAGTATCAATAGCTTAAAATCTTGATCAAGGACATACATAACACAAAAATTACATGTGGCAGGCTGATCTTAATAGCCAATGTGATGGGAATTTGTTGGGAGACTTCTGTTTGGTAACATTTCAGCTAACATTTGGCAGTAACATGCACCATTCCTACCGGTAGGTTTTGAAATGTGTAAATACATCTGTTAAAAAGCACAGTCTAGAAAACTATAGCTCATTTATCATGCCTGCTCACTTTCCATGAGCTAGCTGGTAATTTATAAAGGAAATGTCTGGCTAGTACCTTCAGGCATATAACAGTGCTACAGGTGTCCTTAATGTCCTTAATCAATTGCAAACTATTACTGAAATACTACTCACTCAGGGCATTAGTATTTTGGGGATGTATTTTTGTGTGTATAAAAATAACTTAGGGCTGACTCAAGTTAATACGATACACAGAAAAACATGTTGTAGCTGAAGACTAAATGGAACCAGACTGAAGAAAGGTTGGTATGTATTTTTGTTCTGTTTTGGGAGGTTTCTATTTTTAGCTCCATAGCTCTAACATCTCCCAGCTTTAGAGTCTGACATTTGGTTTCTTTTCATTTTTCTATTGAGTAAGCCTGTTTTTCAATTAATGTCCACTTCCTTTCAACCATTCTCAGTAGTCTTTATTAGAGACTAAACCAATATGACCAATTTTTACTCTTGATGTTTCCTGTGGCAATTTTCTGACCCATAAGAGCATTGAGAATAAATATGTTTAACTAGAGAGTTGCAGAAAGATGGGCAGCCTGTACAGCATTTGGAAATGAATGATGGAGTAGTTTTCTATGGAAGAACATCGCCCTCTCCAGAGGCTCATGGGAGAATCCATTTGTCCTTTGACTAGTAATTTTGCCATGGAAATGACCTGGAACCCAGTAGGTGACATTCAAAATTAAAGTATTCTAAGGAAAGATCTTACAGGAGCCTTAAACGTGAGCCACCTTTCTAGATGTTTGATGTTAAATACCTGAAGGTATCATTACATACATAAAAGTTTTGATCTACGTAAGAAAGGCATGCCCCCAGCATATCCCTTCAGCTTGCTTTATTCACTCTGCATCTGCATTTCTCTTCCTGTGTCACTTCTTTGTGCAAATAGGAGTTCACAAATTAATGCAGATTCTCTAAAGCCAACACAGAAGACAGCTGTTATTTTCCAAAACTGTGTAACAGTAGAAATACTTATCTCTTCATTCCTGTACCAGTTGTAATAGCTACCTGTGTATCAGGGCTGAAAAGCATCTTTGCAGTCTGGAAGACAATGAGCTGCATCTGTGGTGGTGTTCTCCTTTGCTGCCTCATGCTAATTGCTACAAGACCACATTCTTCCATGATAGTCCCAGAATTGGGGGCTTTTTGTTCTAGTGCTTGGGGAGGAAGGGTTTTGAGTCTGTTTTATTAGATCTCTATGAACTGTGTGAAAAAGACTTCATTTTCTAAAAGCCTGGTATGGTTCCTTGAAGAGCATTTATATCTTAATACTTTCTGCAGGAGCACACAGTTTGAATTTAAAAGAATATCCTGATTATAGACTATTGTAATTGCAGTGAGATTTTTGCATTTTAAAGTGTTTCAAGTGGCAGTAATACAGGATTTAGAGAGGGTTACTAGACTCCTATTTGCCTATCATGTAGTGTATGTGAAGTGATGTCTAGTTGATTGTCAAATAATATTCAAGATAGCAGGGCTCAGAAATTAGTAGACTGACTTAGCTTGATACTATTCCTGTTGAACAATGAAGATTTGTCTGAGTGTCAGCAAGATGATTCTGATTCTAATCCCTTCTGGTGTCCTAATTTATCTGTGTTCTGGACCTCATTCCAAGGCCATGGAAGTCATTGGAAGAACTCCTAGTTTCACTGGCCTTTGTTTTAGGATGAAGATTGCCCTTCCTCTTCAGTACAGGCTGCTTAAACGTGTTTACCAATTGACTGAAGAGAAAGTGGGACAGAATTTATTCTGGAGGGAAATTTAGAAGTGACTGCATTTTCTTCAGTGCTTCAAGATTACTGCTGAGCCAGGGGAGATCAGGATCTTGACTACTGACTACTGCTCTGGAGCAAAACTATTTGTATTGCTGTGTTATCTGTTGGTATTGGCTTGAGAACTTGGCTTGTTGGTAATTTTTATCTCAAACTTACATCCATAAATCCTCGTCGAGTCAGGTCTGTTCTCAAGCAGGCCATTAGAGACATTTTACAATATTAATGTGAGAAAGATTTAACTAAGAGAGACAGTAACAAAATCCATAGATACTTTGGATGTCTAACTGGGGAGTTGTTTATGATGAGATGAGTGAAGTCATGCAATACATTAGCTGCTATCGAGATGTCTTGCTATTTTGCAGCTATTTGTGTGCAAGTGTTTAAAAGACAAGATAATTTGTAGATGGTGCATGCTTAAAATACTGTTCTGTAGTTAAAAGCTGATTGTCTGGTAAGATTGCATTTCATCACATATAGTAGAGTTTAAAACAGCATTAGTATTCAGTGAGTATTTTTTGAGCTTTGTGGTTGTTTCTTTGTTAGTAACTACTTATCTGATCCTTAATTTTCAGTTAGTCACTCTTTGTTCTGATTAATTTGTAGCGTCCATTTATGCATAGGCATTCTCCTGAGGGTCTGTGAGTCTTTGTCTTTACACAGTAGACAGTACTCAATTATTAAGCAGGATGAAAACAAAGTTCTCAAAATAACCTAGTGTGTTGAATAAAAATGTGCATGTTGCACTTCTCTGCTACAGTTCAGTTTTCTTCAGCTTTTTATAATTGCAAAAGAAAATACACACTCAAGGTAGAATGTGTCAGTGACACAGAACTCATCTGCACCTCCTTTGGTGATTTACAGCAGTTAAAAGTAGCACTGATAGCATGTTAAACAAAACTCACTGTTTCTTGCATGGGAACTGCCAGTTGGGAAAGTGACAGTGCAAGACATGGTTCATGTCATCAAAATACCTGTCAGCCCCATTCCCTCATGCTAAACTACCTGTCTCAAGAAGGACTTTCAGTATGTCAGAAAGCTTTCAGACTTGGGCTATTTTGGTCCATGTGGTTGAGCAGTAAGATTATGGAAGAAGAACATCCTGACTACAGATCTGTGTTGTGTACCAAAGGAATGTTCATTGCATTCTTGCCTCTCAAATGACTTAGAGTGCACTTTTGCATAGCAATAGTAGTATCAAAGACCTGTGTTGCCAGTAAGAATGATGAAGTAGTGAAACC